TTTGCCCACAGGCCCACGCAATTAATATCTGTTTGTATCCCCTTTGGACCTTGATCAGAGGAGGACCTTAGGCTAGTGACGGCTGCTAGTTTCTATATAGAAATCTGTTCCCATTCCACAACTGCACCTGGCTAAAAGAAGTCTTATAACTCAGAGTGCAGCTCTGTGATCATATTAATGAATGTGGAGAGCCACGAAGGAAGTTGATGTCAGTACACTTTTCTGTGCCAGGTGCTGTGATTGCAGGTCTACTGGAGCTAGCGATTTAAGACTTAACATCTGTCACTGACTGCGGGTTCCACTCAGATCAAGGTGTGAATGGGAAAGCAAGATTAATAAATCTCTCTATATATAAAACCTGCTTCCTCATTATATATCCTTTGGGGTACTATGCCCCTCACCTCCACTCTCATTGTCTAATCTCTCCCTTCCACAATCCAATATCACTGCCTCCTCTCTCCACTTTCTCACTACTCCAGTCCTCCATCCTCCGATCTCACTGATTCCTTCTCCTACACCCCCCTTTTCTGTATCAAATACATATCCTTTAAGACAACACCCACCTTTCAACATGCCCACCAATTACTGTGGCAACGTAGTACACTGTGTGGGGCACCTTCTTTTGCCCATAGGAATCTGTCCCTACAATGAAAGGTCCAGTTGGCAATTTTGCCTCCAGACAAAGGTTCCCAGTCCTCCACTGGTACGGATAACATCAGTAAGGAGACACAGTAAAGCTATGGATTCAAAAGAGCATCCAGTGCCTGTCTTAATCTGCTTAAATGTTGCCTGCTAAGATAAATAGGATGGCACATCCTGAACACTGTACTTGGGTTCAGGCTATGCAAACCATGACATGTGCAGGATCCTAGCATATTAATTACAATAATTACAAAACACGTTGATACAATTTCTTTTCTGACCCCAATATGGCAAAATTGCACATATAGTTTGTTCAGCACTCAGCTGGTTGTATTGTCTGAGCACAAATGAAGTTGATATGGTCAAGCCATTCTAGCACAGACAAACTTAACATTTCATGGCAAAACCTCAAGTTACCAGTGTTCAGATTTTTTGAAAGCACAACAGTTTAGCTCCAAAAAGTCACACCTAAGAATCTGAAAATGAAATGTTACAGGATATACACTGTTCTAGAGTCTGCTGACAGTCTTAGGGTACACATGTCTACAGCAAATTGCTTTGGACCTTGTTCCTGTATGAGCAGCCAATATAATACACTATTCACCCTATATCAGCATCAATCAAACAATAGACATATCACACACCATCCATACTTGATAAGAAAAAAATGTACTCTACAAAGAACGAGATGTTCCATTTTATTACAAGCAAAGTAATATATACTGTATAACCTTGTAACCATCAGATAAAAACAGGAAATTATTTAGCACAGAGATGGGTTTAATGACAAGCAGGAGCAAACACAAGGTATTATTTACACACATCATGAAAGAATCATCACTACTAAGCTAAGATTAGTAAAGAACCTAAAGGGTTAGTCTTCTCAAGTGATATTTCAGTTATAAGTGAAGGCTGGGCTAAGTCTCCCTCAGGCTCTCACTTGAGAAACCAACTAATGAGATCTCCCTGCCATAAGCTCTTTGATGTGTTCTTTCCCTCCTTTTAATTCTGGGTGTTTTCACCCATCTTTAGGTATTCTATTCCTATTATGCACAAACAATAATGGCTGGAGAAGTACTGCTGACCTGTAAACTCAAGCACAGTCACTGAAAAACTCAAGGAAGAAATAATAGTGATCTGTTGACCGGTCCTAATAAGGTTTAACTGTCATACAGTAGCCATCTATCTTCCACCAAAAACTGACTTTCCCCCCTACCATTGAAGTCATCCAATGTTAAAAAATAGAGACTTCTAATGTCCTGGTACAAAAGAATAGGGGCAACAGCATAGACAAATTCATGGTAACAGCCTCTGAAGTATTCTAGATGAAAGATCAAAGTCCAAAAGTACCAAAACAGTCCTCCTTGCAGGCAAAATGCACTTACACATATTCACTGGACGTTTTATATAATTTGTTTTTTTTCTTGTCAGGACACTTCATGGGTAAGAAGAGCCTGCAGGACACGTACAGATTAAGAGAACAAGATATGGAAGGGGCAGCCATCTTTCCACCACGCTCTATGGAGAGCATGAGAGCCACTCTACTACAAGAGCAGCGCAGAGCACTGTCACCCAGCCAGATGCAAGGAGCACAGGTGACTGCAAAAATATGTGCTTATACAAAGCAACAAATGCATTAGAAAAATTTCAGCAATGAAAGCATATACTGTATAATAAACATATATATATATATATATATATATACTGAGCTATCACAAACCAGCTGGAAATTTAAGCCATGGTTACAGTGCTAGTGCCAAGGCATTTACTTAGGTGGGCTTACAGTGGAGACAAAACTCAGGGGAACTGTCAATAATGTGAAAATCATTAGTAGTCAAAGGTTTATGCACATTATTGTAGGTGTACTGTTTATTTATATATGTTTGTGTGTAAAGCTAGGTATACACGGTTAGAATTTAATTTGAAAAAATTCATTTACAGAACGTTTGTTCAATTTTCCAGTAGCTAATGGGGTCAAATTGACTATTGATTTCAAAAGTAGTGACAAAGAAGAACGAAGAATCAGGATGGAAATCTCGAACAAATGAAATTCTAACAGTGATTGTGGTTCTTAGCTCATGAAACTCCTTTCATTTCCCAAATCAAATGTTAAAATCAAAAGTCAAGTCTCTGATGGCATTATCGAATGTTCTGATGGGATTTTTCATATGAACATTCATACGAAAATCTACCATTGTACACCCAGCTTTAGTGTGTGCATATACACACACACCAGAATCAGAAGTTTTTCACAGAGATACAGGAATCAATTTCAAGACTAACATCAATTGTTTCCGTTGCTGCAAGGTTGCCTACAATGTAACACTTCTATTACCTTCAAAATGTTTTAGGTCAGCTTCACTCCCTATCAAGGCGGTCTTTATAATGAGGCAGGAAGGCCCAGTATGTAATGTGTGAATCACAATAAAACATCAAAAAAACCTATCAAAAAGTGGAGGAGTACTTAATTTTCTATTTCATTAAAAGAGACTACTGTACATGTAAATTATATATCAACATGTCTGATTTATTATAATCATCACTGAACTTTTATTTTTCAGCGGATACTTAAGAAGATTCTGGAGCAGTATTTTAACATGTCCCGGAAGTAAAGAAGATATTTATTTTCCTGTACATAAAATAAATATATATATATATTTGTGCCTGAGATACCAACATTTGTTTCAGACATTCCAAAGGTTATTGTTTACAAATAAAAAAGAAAATACTAATGAAAATGGGAGTGTTTTCATTCAGAAAATGAGGTTAATTTCTTCATGTTAAAGTTAGACTGTCGTCCTAAGATTATGTATTAAGTATTTTTCTGCCATTTTACACAGTGTTCTTAGAAAACCTATGAATAAAGGACATTCTTTGCACAGAAAAAGTATAATATTACTGTTTGTCTATTGACATCATAAGTCATAGTCTAATGTACTACTGCTTTACATATAAAAAAAAGGGTGCATGACTGAGACAGGAACACTAGGTTGCACATTCCTTTGGGAGCTGTAAATATTATTTATAAACCAGACAACAAAACTGTCTATATGGTTATATCGTATGAATGTGAATGGCCCCCAGATAATCGCTGGAGTTTTAATGTGCTCCAGGTTTGGAAAACAAAAGTATTGACTATCATAATGAGTGAATTGAATAATTGTATTTTTCTCCTGTAATATTTCCTAATTAGGGCATTAATGTAGGTATGCACTCTATATGTTACATTATTGTGTGTGATATATGATTGAAATGACTCATGTATGAATCCATTAAAATACAAGTCCATAAACGGTTATACCATCCCTTTTATCTGATTTACTAAAGGCAAGTAGGCTGTTCACTTTTAAATTGAATTTGCACTTTGCAAGGGAATTCTCCCTTCAGTTTACTGAATGCAGTCAAGCTCTGGCAAGTTCCATTATCCGATCATGAGCAAAGCAAAAACATTTTTCTTTGTATCTTCCTTGCTCGTGATTGGGTATTCTTTGCAAAGTGAATGTTCATCAAATTCAGTAAGCTAAGGGAAAATTCCCTTGCAAGGTACACATTTCCCTGCAAAGTGAACAGCCTATTTACAGTGAGAGGGAAAGGGGGGTTGTTGATGAGGCAGGCAGCGCAGTCCACAGTTGATCCAAACTTTCCCTGGCCGACACAGCAGTGACAGGCTATGTGAAAACAGTTACTGTTGGCCTGACTTGGTAAGAGTACAGAAGCATCGGAGGAGGTGAGAGGAACAGTGAGGGTGGGCTGCTGTCCAAGCAGGCAAAGTTGCTGCAGCCTGTCTTTGTGCCCATGCTGTTGCTGCCACTGTTCCATCTTCTGCAGCCCTCATCATTTCACATGGGGACACAGCATTGTTCAGGAGGGAGGAACTGGAAGAGGAAATTAACCTCCTCCTGGCTCTCTCTTCCTCCCAGCATCAGCTTCCTACTCCCGCCTCCCAGCTGACAGGAATAATTACTCTCCTCTCACTACTCTTGTAAGCCTGTAAACTCCCAAATGGACAGGAACATAGTCAGGAACTATGGCGGGGAAAGCTTGCTGTTGAAGTATCCAAGGGCTGACTCAGGCCACTGGGCTCTACCTTTATCTAAAATGTCTTTTGTGTGAATTGACCCTTTCAGTTGCACAGTAGTATGAAATTAAAATGACTAATGTTGTATAGCTCAAAGTCAAATGAGGTTTGATTTATCAATGTGTGCATACTAAGAGCTGGAGTTACTTCTGGTCAGCAGCCAATCAGATTTAGACCTGTTCTAAACATCTGAACGTGATAGCTAGTTGAGAGGAAGTAATACAAGTTCCTAGTTGGAAAACATTGAAAAGATGTGTTTGGAGGAGCGTTGGACCCCTTGATTGGATGAGCATAAGTGGTTTGATTCCTTAAATTTGGAGGCAGCTCTCTGTCAACAAGGGTATCTAAGGAGTCCACAGAAACATTCATAGAGTATTGGAATAATGAGAGTACCACGCTGATTAATTCAGTCCACTAAGGGTTTTTATTAGAAGCAATGGAAAGGTAAAAAGCCAATGTGTTTTGGGAGCTTACATATCCTCCATCCTCCTTCATCAAGGCTTGTGTACTGGCAATGATGGACACTAAAACTGGACAGAGAACTATGGGAAATTATGATTATGTAATACCAGCATGGGTTGCCTGCCAGACAGCCTAGTAAGAAAACATTGACACATCATGCCAAAGCAGTCTAAAGTATGTCAAATGTATAGCTACATATTGGTGAGATTTATGTCCTAGAATTTACAAGCAATCTCCAAATAAAGAAATACTGATATCAAGTTTGCCATAACCTTACCCCTTTATGTATTTGATGCACATCCCCCAAGGGAGTCTACCAAACCATCCCATTATGTAAAATTCTCTGTTAGTCAAGTGGTCTTGACTGAGAACCCTAAGTGGTATATTTATAAATGAGTGGATGAGACAACACTGACTAGTGGTGAATCAAATCACTGTCATTTAGAAGCCATGCACCTGGAAGATTTGCCTGCAGTGAATGTTTGGTAAATGTCAGATTCACTCTCTTATTGCTATGCACCTTAGTCTCAAAACTGAAGTTCAGCTGGTCAGGGATTCTATTAGTCCTTATTGGAGTCTTTCTGCAGTCTAATTCAGTATTTCTCATAATTATTCAGTCATGGCACCCTTAAAAAGTATGCAATATCTTTAATGTGGGGAGGGGACCACATGCAAAAACACAATGGAGAAAAGTATGGTTCCATCCTTTGCATCAAAGTCCTCCCTTCAACTCAAGAGATCCCCTTCACATCAAAGCCCCCTCTTTACATGACAATTCTCCTTTGCACATCAGAGCCCCCCTTCCTCATCAGAAACCCCCTTTGTATCAGAGCTCCCCTTTCATATCAGAATCTCTTCTTTTAAATCGGAGTTCCCCATTCATATCAGAGTCCTACCACCACCACATTTTGAGGCACCCCTTATGGAGCAGAATGCACCCCAATTGAGAAAGGCTGTTCTAATTTGTAGATACTATGGCATAACATCAATGGCAAATCTGTTCTGCGAGCACTGAAAGCCACTATAAGCATTTATTATTTCTAGCTTCCTCATCTCCTATATAATGATTTGCTTTATTTAACCTTATTTATGGCTTTAATTAAACAAGTGATATTGTAATACTGAATATTTTATTACACTGGAGAAGATCGATTCCCCAGTGAAAATATAGAACGATATCAGAGATCCACGATCTCTGAGAACCCTGAAAACCAAGGTTTATTGAAGGCAGAAAATTATGATGGCTGCCTAACTATACCTGCTCTACTTTCTAAATTTCTTTTAGGTCTAGTACAATTGTGTGTGAAGAAACAGTATCCTGTGTGAGTTCCTTCAGTGTGCTGGGTGCTTCCCAGTGCCAGTGTATTAAGATGTGTGGTTCTTTACCTGTTACAGAGCAGGTCTGTAATCTGATCGGTAGCTGTGTGGTTCTACACCTGTTACAGAGCTGGTCTGTAATCTGATCGGTAGCTGTGTGGTTCTACACCTGTTACAGAGCGGGTCTGTAATCTGATCGGTAGCTGTGTGGTTCTACACCTGTTACAGAGCAGGTCTGTAATCTGATCGGTAGCTGTGTGGTTCTACACCTTTTACAGAGCAGGTTTAAAATCTGATTGGTAGCTGTGTGGTTCTACACCTGTTACAGATCAGGTTTAAAATCTGGTCCCGGCAGCATTTCTGTGCCTGTTTACAGCGATGGCCACATCTCTCTTCCTTCTTCCTGTGGAACCATGCCGCCCGCACCCGCCCACGAGACCAACCAGGACCCCTGCTGAGAACCTGCACAGCCCACTATAGACCCCGCACAGCCCACCGTTGACCCGGCACAGCCCACCATAGACCCCACGCAGCCCACAATAGATCCTGCACAGCCCACCATAGAACCTGCACAGCGCAGCATAGACCCCACACAGCCCACAATAAACCCTGCACAGCCCACCATAGAACCTGCACACTCTACCATAGACCCTGCCCAGCCCTCCTGAGACCCCACACAGCCCTCCTGAAACTCCACACAGCCCTCTTGAGACCCAACACCGCCCTCCTGAGACCCCACACAGCCCTCCTGAGACCGCACACAGCCTGCTGAGACGTCGCACAGCCACCTCAGACCCCAGACAACCACCTGAGATCCTCTGCTAGAGACATCAGGCCAGCACTCCAGAGCAGCGCAGAGTATGTAGCTTCAAATTATTCTGCATTGATGTATAGTGCTTTGCTGGGATTTGTAGCTGGTTGCCATTCAGGAAATTGCTGTATAATGTATCACTGGGATTTGTAGCAGAGACGTGCGGTCAGAGGAGGCAGGAGAGGCAGAGCCTCACCTAGTATTATAGTGTTACCACTTCTGTAAAGAAACCAAATCTTTAAAGAGCCTCTACTTAACTATGTGCAGAAAAACTATTTTCAATAGGGATGTACCGATACTGTTTTTTTCGGTATCAAGTACCGATATTTTTTTCCAGTTCTCGCTGATACTGCATAACGATACCGAAAGTCCCATTAAGGAAGCCGGGTGGCATGTAATGACTCGTCGCCCAGCTTCCCGATTAGCCGGGAAGCCGTCTCCAGGTGAAGAGGAAGCATGGAGTTGGCTTTCTGACCAATCAGGAAGCCAGGTGGTGAGTCATTACATGGCGCTCTGCTTTCTGATTGGCCAAGAAGCCGTCAACATGCTACCTCGGCACACTATGTATAGGCATACAAGTAACGGTATCGGTGCATCCCTAATTTTCAGACTTGCTAAAAGTAGCATTTGAAATATTCATAACATTTACTTAGCTCAGTGGTATTTCACCTTCAATGTATAGGTTGCCTGAACTGTGGCCCCTGACATCATCACAGAGCAGCACTTTGGGGCTGATATATAAATCTTCCACCCAGTGTATAGTTGGTCAAACGGCACTACCGCTACTAGATGGATTTCAATGCTCTTTTGCCCCATCTAGTGACAGTAGTGCCGTGCAAACGGCATTCACCTAGTTATACGCTGGTTTGAAGATTTATGAATCTGCCCAATAATGTTCGGTATACAGTATGTACTGCTAGAGAGGTCTGTCAGAGACTGTTGATATACTACAGGATATGACGGTTAGAGACTGGAGACATGCTACAGTGAGAGACTGGGGATATGTTATACAAGGCTAGTAGAGATCACTGCAACAAATAAATGCTGGCACTCCAACTACAGACAGTTGGGTTCTGAGGGCCCCACAACATGTACCAAGGGCCAAATGTAGCCCTTGGGCCACAGGTTGGACACCAGGGACTCCTAATAGCATGCAATAAATGGAAACAAATAAACACATTTTGAATTTTACAGTCAAATCATGAGCTTTCTAAAAAAAACATCAGTGCAGACAGGTAGTTTATAAAGAGGGACAAAGAATGCATT